ATGTGGTTAAGTAATTTATTTCTGGGCTGTCCTGATTGATTGGCATTATATATATTTTTATTATTAATTTTTGAAGGTTTAAAGCTCATTTCCAGGCTCTATTTCCTGCATAGAAACAAAACCTACCTGAATGCACTTTTTACTCACCTAATGCACCATTCTAGGCCGAGGCTTCTCTCTTTTTTGTGTTTAAAGAAGTTGGGGTCTCCTTCAGGTTTCCATATCACTTTCTATGTGATGAAGACACTTCTTATTGGCTGTCCATTGGCATTTCTCTAAGAAAGGAGTCTGAACGATGAAGTTGGCTTTAGGGGACTGGTCATCATGGGCATATCTTTAGTGCCTTATTACTGGTCCCCCGAAACAGGAAACGGTGTCTGCAAGGGACCTGGACCATGGACTTAGGTGGGTAAAACTGGCTACACAAGGGGAAAAAAAATTATGTACTGGATAGGTGGGTACAGGAGAAGGAAGCTGTGGAGAGGGTGTTAATTTTTGCCTGGAGATGGGTTTTAAAAATGCTTTTGCTGTGCACATTGGAACATCCAAATGAATGTCTTACAATTTTGCTATTCATTTTTAAAATAATAATGTTTACATACAGGTTAGATTTACACCTTTTATTTAGGTCAGTGCATGCCGTAGAGGTAGAAGAGCAACAACAGTTAAACCGACAAAATGCTGCTCAACCTACCTATAAACTTGCAATAATAAAATATCATAATGGAATCAACTATGCCAAATCAGCAGTGATAACAGCTCTAATGAGAAGAGCACATTGTAGCCACATATGTGACAGGTGCAGCTGCTTTGAGCCCCAATCGGACTGTGCATTTTGATAAAAGGGGAGCCCACTTCTAATATTTCTTATAGCAGCAGCTAATGTTAATTCTGTTGCAGGGAAGTTATTATTAATGAATCTACTGGAATCCCAAAAGCTGACCCACATATGAAAAATGTCCCTTTTATCTGTCTAGTGCACCCACATTCATATGAATTTCAGCCTCTCGGTTATCCACCTTTTCTTTAATTACACCCTTGGCTGGCTCCAGGCAGGGTTTCAGATTAGACTTTCCATAAGATTTTATTATTAGGTGCCTGACATTTGGCAGAATATATCTGTGGATCACAAATTCTTCCCGATTGCTCCAGCAATATATGTATATGATTATATACGGCTTCTTACAGATCCTGCTAATGTCTCAATACACTATGGTAAACCAGGGAAAAGGCAAGTGCATTGTGTTGCATGATGTAGTTACTCTCCTTACAATTCCTTTCACATGTAAGGAGAACTCCAGCAAAGGGTTTTGGGGGCAGGGAGTTCGATGCAATTTGCAATCTAATTTATAAAATCCTCATTTCAAAGAGAGCACCTTTTCTTATTCAGCGAGAAGATTTGTGCAGCAGGGTTACCAATGCTACATTCTAAAAACTAAAACGTCTGAACTACACACTGACTTAATCATATTAACCTTGTAACCTGTAAAAGATATGTTAGTTATTAACTACTTCCCATCCGGAGCAATTTCTTAATTTTTGTCGGCTAATGATAAAAAAAAACAAAAAAACTTTTGGATAAACTACCCAAAACCCTAAAACAATTATATATTTTCTGAGAGCAGAGGGCCTGTAGAATAAAAGAAAAATGCTAGGTCGCAATTTTTTGTGTTGCCCAATATATGCACAAATGTGTATTAAATCCATATTTTTAAAACACAACACACTAAAATGAATTTTAATAACCATTTTGGTAAAATACAAAAGATGGGGTTGTATCAGGTGAATAGATGCCAAACATGTCAGACCTTAAAATTGCGTGCACCTGCGAAATGGCAGAAAACTACAGTACCAAAAATTGCCCATAGGTGATTCTTTACCGCTAATCATTTTAGAGTTAACAGCGAGTGACGGCACAACAATTATTGTTCTAACTCCTTCGTTTCATCCGATATGCAACATGTGTGGCACAATCATCATTTTCATGTGTAGGCACACCGGACGCGTGTTATAAAATGTATAAAACTTTAAACCTTTTTTCCCACTTAACTTTACTGCTATCACGCCACCTATGTGATAGAATAGACGAAGCAAGATGTGCTCTTTATGAAAACATCAGGGGTCTATCAGACCCCTAATGTCACCTATGGACCCCAAAGAACTTGAAGTACAGATCGTCCCTCACCAGCTTCTTCTCCGGCCACAGCAGCCAGGGATTTGACAGGCTGAAACCCGAAGTGACAAAATCATTGTTGCTTCTGGTTTCAGTGGTCGAAACTGAGATCAGACACTAGAAGAGTGCTGATTTCCCTCTGATCCAGGCAAAGACACCCACCTGCTGGCCCTGCAGCCACACACCTCAGCTACACATAAGTGATCTGGCGGTTCTACAGCTGCCCAAACACTTGTATGTGAAAGCAGGGCATGGGCTGAAGAGATTGATTCCAAGATCACAGCTGCTGCAGCAGCAGTGATCTTGATATAACCCTTCAGAACTGTGTTTATATATGTACAGCAGTTCTGAAGTGGTCAAATGGATAAGTTGGCAACCGTAATAAACAATAGTATTCTATAACAACAAGCCTACTCACTGTAAGGCACCTGTTAAAAAGGGCAATGCCTGGGTTTTTATTTGCGGTATGTGTGTTCATGGTCAGTTATTGCAGCCCCATATTTATTTTGCATTTTTAAAGTGTATCTGAAGACAAACCATTTTGAGTGATGAGGTGTTAAGACCCATGTCAGGTTTTTGTTGCTGAAAATTCACACTCTCTATCTGTCCTAGTAACCACTGTCAACAGGACAGAAAATTATAGGAAAGGAAAAACATTATAGTTGCCACCAAAGCAGGAATAAATCAAAAATTGTCCAAAAGGGAAACCGTTCACAATAGGTTACAGTGTCTAAGAAATTTTCCTCATTTTGGTGATTTTCCTAACATCTTGTTCCAATGTCAGCCCATGACAGGTACACTTTAGTCCTTCATCGCTGTGCTACAGTCGTATTAGAAAATGATTCAAAAACAGATTTGTCATTAGTGTAAATCACCAGAACACAATTTATGTAATTTAAGTGCAATGTGTCGGTGTTCTCTGCTACCAACATTTTTGTATATAACGAATAGTCATTTCCAGTAAGAGAAAGTCTTCTGTGCTTATATAAATGTTAATGTAAACAGTCTGTTCATACTTGACTAGCTGAGGAATATGTATACATGTTAAGATAATACATAGCTATAAACTAACAGCCCATGCAGCACATACCTGCACTCGGAACTTCCATAATGCCCCAACAGGAACACCAGGGATGGGACCATAATGGTTTGAAGGGACAATGGTGCACTCCTTAGTGCGTCCAACACAGGCCATTCCCTTCAAAGGAGGACAGAAAGGAACAGTTGGCATATAGTAATGACAGTAAGCAAACATTTATCAGTGGTGGATAAAAGGCTATATTGGGGCCTAAACTGTTTTTGGCAATGGGCCCCTGCAAGGTGAGTTTTAGAACAAATAAGCAAAAGGATCTTGGTTCATACAAAAAGGTTCCTATCAAATTATATATGTAAAAACTAGGGCTCATGAATGACAAATCCATAAAAGAAAATGTATATAACTATTTATAGTGCCTACCTAAATTTCAAGGACTCAGTTTCAACTAGTACCATATTATATAAACTGGTGGGCCCAATAGGTCAGCCACTGTTATAATCTGAACTCTACAAGCAGCATCTTCACATCAATGAATATATCCCTTTGCAGCTACCAAGAGAATAACCCTTTAGTTTATCAAGCCAGTAAGAGAGCTGCTCATCATTACTCACACAGGCAATCCTTTAAAACAAATTCGCCTCATGTGCCACCACCATAAAAAGACCTGCAGAACTGTTTTTAAATATGGAGCACTTGCCATCTGACCAAAGCTGAATTAAAAGAAACCTGTAATTAAATTGCAAATATGAGACACTGAGCTCTGATCTCCACAGGATGTATGAAATTAATCTGAACAATAACAGGCTCTTGGACTTTCTAATTACACTGGAACAGTTTACACAGCAACTGCCTTTCTTAGCTTACCGTTTCACACTGAACTCATTCTAAAGACTTCCTGCATTTACTGCTATACAGCTCACACAGTCTACAATTAAATAAAACACAGTGAATCCTCTTGGAAGAGCGTATCAGATTTGACAATGATCTTGCTTTGTTCTCAGGTTTACTGGAATACAACTAACCTCAGTTCCAGAAGACCACATAGGAGCATTGCCCCTCCAAAATTTGTGTATGATGACATCATACAGGGCCCCCGGGCCCATTTCACTCCAACCACAGTGGTAGCAAACACTGAGCAGGTATCATAATCCATCTAAGAATATTTAACCACTTCAAGACCAGGTGTTCAGACCCCCTTCCTGTCCAGACCATTTTTCAGTGTTCAGCGCTGCAGTACTTTGATTGACATTTATTCCGTCATGCAACGCTGTACTGAAATGAATTTTATACCAGTTTTTGGGGACAAATAGAGCTTTCTATTGGTGGTATTTAATCACCACTGGGGTTTTTATTTTTAACTATATTAAGGAAAAATTATTGAAAATTTTGGGGAAAAAAAGTTTTGTTTTCCATTATATTAGGAAACAATGATTATTACCCATATTTTTGGTAAATATAAAAGACGGGGTCACGTCGGGTAAATAGACACCAAACATGTCAAGCTTTAAAATTGTGCGCACCCGTGAAAATCGCAAAAAACTACCATACCCAAAATTGACCATAGGCGACGCTTTAAAAGCTTTTACAGCTCATCAGTTTAGTGTTATCAGTTATTGATGGCCATAGAACTATTGCTCTCATTCCGACATTCGCGACGATATGTAACATGTGCGATGTAATGGGCGAAAGCGCCATTTTCGCACGTATGCAAAATATGTGACAGGTCCTCTTTATGGAGACATCAGGGGTCTCCAAGACCCCTAATGTCACCTATGACCCCCCTGAAGAAGCTGATGAAGCAGAGATCTGCTTCATCAGCTTCTCTCCAGCATCTGAAGCTGGATAGTGACACGAGAATGCGGAAGTGTAATATACATCAGTTCCGCATTCTGGCAGCGGAGAGGGGACCGGAGGGAGGCTGTGTACCGACCTCCTTCTGATCCCCTGTGACAGAGGCGACATGCTGATCCCAGGCTCGCACCGTGCACAGCGGAGCCCGGGACCAGCGTGACAGCGGGAGGGGGGGAGCCGTGGAGGGGGTGGGGCACATCCCGGGACCTCATGCAAGCGATCCGCCCGCTTGTATATTAACGGGCATCGCTGCCTGTTTTCAAATATCAGCATTTCCCGCTATTAAAAAAAACAAAAACAAATACGATGAATATTACCTAATGCTTTTTAAGCATTACAATGGACTGAGCACATTTGTTTTATGTTACTACCCACTCTGCTGACACAAAGTTTTTTTTAAAAAGAAAGACATATTTCTGAGGTAAGCTATGGGAATGTTAGAACATGTGACTAGCCATCTTGGAATGGTTACAACATCACAATCTATTTAATCCCCTGGCTATGGAAATAGAAGCGTTATTTAAATCTCCCTGCAGTAGCTAGGGATTTTAAGATAAAGTACATGGAACAGTGTGCTTACATTATGTATCTGGACATGGACAAACTGCAACGTGGTGTTACTAATATGAATAATGCATTTCATGTAAACTGCATTCTGTGGTGACAGCCATGACAAGTTTAAGACACACTGTCAAATATTTACAGCAATTAGCTATTTTATTACTACCTTTACATAGGAAAAAAAATAATTTGCAGTTGCCCAATATATGTAAAACGCATAAACAGGTATTTAAAAAACAAAAAAATCATACAGTTTGAGGGTTTTAGAAAGGGGGGAGATTTGTACTTTAGTGGTTAGCAGTAAAGCATGACATTCTTTAACCCCTTCGTGACGGGAGACGTACAGTGTACGTCTTGTCACTTTGTGCCTATATGACTGGCCACGTACACTGTACGTGACGAGTTATATCAGGCTTTGTAATGCCGGTAACTGCTGATTCTCAGCATTTAACAGTCATTCATTAATGTCTCAGTATTGAGGCATTAATTAATGAAATAATTAAGCTTTTTGTAAAAGCTTCTTCCTTTCATTAATGAAAGAATGAAGCCGTTACATGCAAATAGAAAAAAACTAGCTCAGTCATGAAGGGGTTAAAGGAAGTACATTGGGCATACTCTGTGTACTTCCCAAAGACCAGGGGCAATCTGTTTAAAGCTGAAGTTCAGGATAAGCAAATATTGTTTAAAATACACGATCCATGTATATTCTTATTTGAAGATGTGTGCTTTGTGCATTTCATCTAGATGTTTACAGTAATCCAGTGTGAAACTTTGCCTCTGTGCAGGAGCTTCCTGTAATAAAGACCAGTCACTGCTGTTCACTTCCTTTATGAAGGGGAGCTGGTCTTGTATCTGTCCCCTTCTGTTATTTTCTGCAGGCACCCTGCAGTGGGTTGGGCCTGCTGGGTCCCTCCACAGCTCTGCTAGGCACATTGACAATGTCACTACTACATTTGACATTTTTGCATGGAGATGCAAACAAAATACATCATGCAACTCATACTATACCTTGCCCCAGTCTCTCTGACTCTCAGTGCTAGCAGAGGGCATCTTTGCCTTCTTTTTGCTTTGTTTCAATTTTTCACCAGCTTTCACCACCTCCGTTGAGTCATTTTTACAGGAAGGACAATACCTAAAGAAAGAACATAATGTACGTTCTGTGAGTAAGCACACAAGGTTACTTTCATCAACACTACATTCTATTCATGACACTACCTTATCAACTTGAAACAACTGCAATTCATTAGAAAGTAAAAAGGTACCCCCAGTAAGGACATGCTTGTTAGCTGGTGGGATCATATAAAAAAAAAAAGGACTGTCTATAGGGTGAAAACAAATGCCAGCACACAGCTTCTTCTTCTCATGATACTTTATTATAAATGCACCTGACACAGAATTAAATGGATGTCTACAGGAGGTTATCCATCATTGGCAGCAGGGCTTCATCCGTGAAGGTGGTTATCAGTAGGGTTACAATTTTGGCCAATATCGGATTGCATGGAATGCATGTTAATGACCAAGTGCACCCAATACAGAAACAAAATAGTGTGGAATGAAAGCTCCTGCAGGCTGCACACTGACCTATTCCTAGGTAAACCCAGCTGCTAATACTCATCAACCTTGTGTACAAAATGCAGAAAATAAACCCGATTTAAGTTGTAGATATACCTTGCTGCAGGAGCTTGTTTGGTACATTGGCTGCGGGTCATGTACATTATAAGTAACTGCAGATGAAATGTACTACAATGAAAACCACAGAAAAGCAGTAGTAGATTTATTATAGTTGCCGGCTTCTGAATAGATTTTGCTGCTAAAGTGGTACACTTAGGCTGGGTTCAGACCTGGGCATACTATAGGCGCGTTTTTTCGTTCAGTAATACACGAGTTCGACGCTTGTTTTTATACCTCCATGGCAGTATGATTTTTTTTTTCTATCTTTTTTTCGGGTTTTATTTATTTCTTTAAGTTTCAAAATTCCCGCCGGCTAGGCCCCCCTGCGACGCGGCCGCTCGCAAGGGACGGAACCTGGAAGAAGGCAGCAGCCGGAGGACACAGCAATGTTTAAACATGCGGCATTCCAGGCCCAAGTGTGAGATTGTCGCTGGAAATGATTATTTGGAAAATACATACCAGTCTTCATCCTCGGGGATCTTTGACAGCGGTGGGTTTAGGCAGTAAATGTGGTAGGCCATGTTGCACTCATCACAGAGAAGCTGCATGTGAGCCTCATGCTTCCCTCCACACACATAACAGGAACAGAATCTGCATTCCACTTCTGGGTCTGCTTTGCAGTACTTGCATTCAGGGCCACTCTTCCCTGTAAAATCAAAGTGTCGTCAGGATTTGTTACTTGGCCAAACAAGAAATGGAGCACCATTTAGAATGTTCTATAAAATCTATAAATTAAACCTGTGCTAAAACCTTTTTTTTTTTTTAATGTTGCGATAAAATAGAGAAGGATTAGAAACTCGGGCAGGTTTTAAATGCTGTCTGTCTCTCAAGATGTTTTCTCCTCGCTTCCTGTTCCCTCTAACATCAGTTAGCTGGACAGGAAGTGAAAGAAAATCTTTTTAGTGGGACACAGACAACAACAACATTTTTGACAGCAATTTTAACACTAACACTTAAACTGGCCATACACCAGTAGAATCAAACTAAATTTTGAACAACATTTGTCCAGTTTCTGATGGCAATATCGAACATTCTGACAAGATTTTATGTATGAACGTTTACACAAAATTCTAACATTGTATACCCAGTTTTACATTTTGTTACGGTCTTGGGCCGCAGTTGGGGAGATTTCCACTTATTTTCGTTTCTTTCTGACACCCATTAAAGAGGAAAACTCTACTAAATTGGGACATAGACAGCAAATAAAAAGGTGATTGATGTTTAACTTTATACAAAACTAAGAAAGTTTTCCTGGAGTTGGGCTCTAAACTACAGCCTGATGATTTGCAACAAAATCTCAATTTCTCCTGACCTTTTGTTTTGGTGAAAACTATTACATTTTTAGATTTCCCTCCACTGGCTTCTAATCACCCCAAAGAATAAAATGTAAACAATTAACAACATTCTAAAAATCAATCCACAACTCAGCCCCGGACTATATCTCCAACCTTGTTTCAAAGTATCACCCCAAGCATCCTCTCTGCTCATCCTAAGACCTTCTGCTCTCTAGCTCACTCATCAACTCCTCCAATGCCTGCCTCCAGGACTTCTCCAGAGTCTCTTCCATCCTTTGGAACTCCCTAAACCAACCTGTCCAGCTATCTCCTACTTAATTTGCCTTCAGGTGATCCCTGAAAACTTATATCTGCTGGGACGCCTATCCCACCTCTTTCTAATAACTGAACTATTACATTCTCAAACAATTCATCCCCACACAGCTACCACCTTTTCTATTACTTACCCTTCCCTTTTAGATTGTAAGCTCTCACGGGCAGGGCCCTCCTAACCAACTTGTTTTGAATTGTATTGTAACGTTAATATCTTCCTTATATTGTACAGAGCTGTGCAAACTGTTGGTGCAATATAAATCCTAAATAAAAATAATAATAATCTTCTGTCTTCGTGACCATGGTCACTAGGCCAATAGAGGTGTTAATCGCCTCGAAGGGGACACATCCAGCAATAAAAACCTGACAGAATTTCTTACCTTTCCATACACTAGTCAAAACCAAAAATAATAAATACTTTCTTTTACATATACTTTAACAGCCCCATAGCCCAACTGATAATACCTGTGTTCTTGCAAAGTTGCACCATTACCATGATAAAATGCCTTGTCTAATCATTCTGCTGACTGAGAAATGAAATGGCTATCTAATAAGAAAACCTTAGCAGACATAGACCGGCTCTCTTTCTCTCCATCTGATCATTGCTAGGCCCACAATTGCAACTGTTTCATAAAGAAAAATTTAATAGGTCCAAAAAAGGTATATACAATGCCTGAAGTACAGTAAGAATAAATAATACTAAGAAGTTTAGCCTTGAGCTTGAGGATTTTTACAGAATGTCTCACATTCAGCATATAAGCAAGGCCACATATTTTATATATCGCGTCTCAGTTACAGAAAAAAAACACTTACTCCTAAAATCTCCATCTCCAGATGACAGAGGGTATGCCCCAGGCTTTTCTATCTTGTAGATTTCCTCAGAAAAAACAATCTTACAATCATTTATAGCATCTTCCGGACCACTGAAACATGAAAAAAAAAGCAATTTGATCACTGTGTGTGTTAAAACATTTTTTTTTTATATATATACACATATGCATACATACATACACACACACACGTTAAATAAGTTTATTGGGTCACGATAAAAGTGCAACAGCGGACAACAATAAAGACTTCGAACATTTTAAATTTTTAGGCTAATTTCTGGCAGCCGACATATACACTTTTACAGCACTATAGCACCATCTATTAAATCACAATCTGTCACACAATAATATACTTAAAATACTTTTTCTGGGGACACTTAATTCTTTTACTGCTCCTGTCCAACTTAGAGACACGATTTAGAAAAGATAAAAAGATAACTTTATAAAATTCATGTTTATTGTTTTATTGATATAAATATTAAAAGGTCTTAAAGCGGACCCTTACACTCAAAAATCAAATTCGACCATTGCACCCCCTCTATGTATGATTAATGCTGTAATTTTAAAACACTTACACTTGCAGAGCATTCACTTCCTGCTCTGAAAGGGCAAAATGACTTCAGTTTGCCAAAGCAATGCACACTGGGATTGCCTTATCAGCAGAGCATTGCTGGGAAATCTCACGAGATCTCAGGGAAAGGCATTTTCCTCCCCCGAGACTTGCATGGTAGACAAAATTAGTTATAAGGTGTTCAGTTCTCCCAATTTCTTACCCCTAATGAAGTCACGTGTCCTATAGACGTAACATACGTAGGGAGGAGATTAGGATTGAACCGAAAGACGGCAACGCTGTAATATGTATTAGGAGAGATTTACCTCCTTGGTTGGCAACCTTGGCACTCCAGCTGCAGTGAAACTACAAATCTATTATGCCTCTGGGAGTCATGCCTGTGGCTGTTAAAGTAGAACTATGGGGTCAGTGTTTTTCCCCATAGTTCTCCTTAGGGTAACGGGAGGACACAAACTAGCGTCCTCCCGTCACCCTAAGCTCAGTATACTGCGAGCTACAGCTTTCGGTATAATGAGACGCCGCAGCCGGAGCGGATCCCGACGTAGATGACGGGATCCGCCCAGCTGCGTGAGGGACAGCTGGCTCTGCCTATCTAGAGGCAGAGCCAGCTGTACCCACCCCCTTCCCATGTCCGTTCCGCCAGTCAGCGCTGGCAGATCGGAGCGGGGAGAGGGGAATCCAGCCCTCCCCTTGTCACGGCAGAGAGCCGTGACAGGATCGAGAGGTGAGCGAACCTGGTATGTGTTCGCTCACCTCCCGATCTACTGAGCCGACCTGTGACAGTCTCATTGTCACAGGTCGGCTAGAACTATGAGGTGAGTAGAAATCACTCATCTCATAGTTCTCCTTTAAGTCTTACAAATGCCTTGAGGGACTTGTAGTGCCAAAACATCTTGAGTGCTAGGTTGCTACTACTTCCTTACAGGTATAGTAAATATTTAGACTAAATTCAAACTTTTTCAGTTGGCTCTCGTGTTACTGCACACGTTTTTTTTTGAATATGCAGCCAATGCACCCCAACACAGGCAAAAAAAAACGTACATGACTTTTATGCTGCACTGCAGTGTTAGTACATTGCTCACTAATGTATTAGTGTTTTGGTTGCACAGATGTGCATTTCATCATGATTGTTAGGACCCTTAGGGACTTTTAGTATATTGCTAAAAAGGGGAAGCAGCAAGCCCTCCTTTCACACATGTCCAGTGCACTAAAATGCATATTGCCTGCATGTTAGAAAGGCTGTCGCACCCATGCAGGGCAAAATGACAGTGACTGTGTCAGTGAAAAGAACCCCCACAAATCACCAATACTTACCTCTCCAGTGATCCCCACAGCTCCTGTCTCTAGCTAAACTGCTACAATATACCCAGTGCACATATGGTAGCATGTGACAAACATGTGAACTGAAGGCCAGGTAGCATCTTGCAAATTTGAAGCCTGATCTTGAAAAGCCCAAGAAGCACCAACCAATCTGGTTGAATGGGCTTTCACAAGGAAAGGGGGAACCATTCTCATGAAGTCATAAGACTGAGGGATAAGTTGTCAAATCCACCTGGCAATAGTGGAATGAGAGACAGGCTGTCCCTTACAGGGACCCTCAGGAATGACAAAAAATGAGTGACTGTGAAAAGGGCGCTGTTGCCAAGAGGTAGACTTGAAAATCGTGTACTACAACCAAACAATAGAGGGAGATCTCCTTAGGATGTTTTGCAGTAGGACAGAGAAATGAAAGAACAATGTCCTAGTTAAAGTGATGGGAAGAGACCACCTTGGGAAGGAAGGAGGTCCTGGGCCTCAAAAGAATCTGGTCTTTCAGTAGCACAAGAAAGGGTTCTTTACAAGTTACGGCTACAAACTCCAAGTCAGATCTTGCTGAATGAATGGCAAAAAGAAATTCAACCTTAAGAGTGAGGGCAGTTCAAGGACTAATTGGCTCTTCTATTGGGCTCAAAGGAAGGTTTCTGAAGAGCGTAATGAACCAGGTAGAGATCACACGTAGTCACAGTGGAACACAGAAGGAGGGTTAAGGCTCCATTCCTACATGAGCGGTTTTCCATGCGTATTCGGCCATATGAATATGTGCGGAACCGCGCTAGACATAAAAAACAATGCATTGCAATGTGTATTGTTAAGACTATTGCGGGTGCCGCGCTGTACAAAACCAAGTGTCGTTTAAAATAGTACAAGTGCGATTTTTACTGTCAAAAGTTTTTATTAGTTTTTCAAAAAGAATAAAAAACAACAATACACAAAATCGACAAAACATGTATGAGGGAAGATCACAATTCTAGTCTGACAATCTAGTGTAGTGTGGCTACCATGTCATAGAAAGATGCACAAGGGTTACCATAACTTTCCAAAAAAATAAAGTTCCATGTGATGTAGTTGCAAAAGAGGACAATATCGAAGTATTGAGGCAATGGAAGAAGTACACGCGCGATTTTATGGGCGGATTCCGCCTGTTCCGGCTATAGAAAACGGTAATAAAGAAAGGACAGAGAAAGATGGGGTTTTTAGAGGCTCCAGAAAAAAACAAGTCCAATAAACTTCAGTCTCAAAAATATATAAAAAGTATAAAATTTATTTAAACAAGCAATTTATAAAAAAGTAATGAAAATGCATGAATGGTATAAAAACACACGTCCACCTCAGAGGAACAAAACCTCCTATCACCCCCTAAATAGCATATGACTAGGTTTAACTAAATGGTCATGGACCTAAACATATAAGGTACAACATTATGGCAACAAAAAATATATAATAGTTAAATTGATGAACCTCGAATGCAAGGAACAGTGCCTACAGGGGTGATAACTGGTTTGCAATGCTAGAGAAGCATAGCTTGTGGACTCAACGCGTTTCGCGCCAAGGGGCACTTCATCAGGAGGGGAGGGAGGTAGTTCCTTCAGTGTGAGGTCAAAAAATGCTCGGCATGGACGTCAACCAGGCCATGGGCATGTGTACCCCAAGTGGAGAAGATGGAAAATACACACCAGAATGGCCTCACACTGAAGGGACTACCTCCCTCCCCTCCTGATGAAACGCCCCTTGGTGCGAAACGCAGAAAGGAAGGGCAACAAACTGGAAATGTTTTACGCCCACAACAAAACAAAGTGCTGGGAAGATCGGGACATGCAGATAAAATGGGGGCATGCAAATCAATTACTTCAACTTAGGCAAGAAAATATCTGGGATGAAGGGAAGCAATGGTCAACATGGCAGATTCCATGCAAAATTTCTGCACCAGAAGAAAGGTGTGAAGACCTTGAGGTATAAAATGGGACATATGCCTGAAGCGCACCTGTAGTAGGCTGAGTCTGAAGTGGACCTTAGGCTGAGGATAAGGCGAAGACGTGGTTAGGCAGGCAGGGTTGGCAACAGTCTGGCAGCGAGGTACAAAGTCGGGATCCAGGAGGTGGGCAGAGGTCTTGACACGATCGGGCAGCAAGGTACAACATCGGCAGGCAAAAGAATAGTCAGGAAATAGGCAAGAGTCACAGTGTAAATCCAGCATACGACACAGAGGTATCGTCTGGTATTTAAAGCCTGAGATAATTGCAGATCTTCTACAGCTGGTTGGCAGGTGGAGCCAACGTGTCCATAAGGAGAGTTGTGGAGTACAAAAACCTGCAGCAAAAACCAAGTCCTTCCAGTGGCTGAATGGCTAGGTCTGTGCAGTTCCGCGTCAGAGACCCAGGTTCAAACCCCAAACAGCAGCTGCCCAGACAGGTACGTGACAATATCTCTCTTGGCCTTGGGAACTGAACAGGTTCAAAGAAATCCCCTTAAACCTTTCCTTTTCCAGCAGAAGGGCTATGACTCCCTTAGAAAGAAGCTGCTCTAGAGCAGCATAAAGAACCGCTTGCCTTAGTGGGGCATTGGCAAGTTTGACAACCTGAAGCAAAACGACGGCAGAGTCGGACATTCTAGTTGATAGCCTCTGGACACCACATTCTGAACCCTAGTGTTGGAAATCTCCTGGGACCAGTTGGCCGCAAAGGGCAGCAGATGTTCCCTAGTTGTATAAGTGGGGACATCCCCTCATTGGGAAGAGAAATTGCTTGTGGATTTGCTGGATTCAAGGTTCCAGGTCTGGCAGTGGAACTGGGAACCAGGTTTCTCCTTGGACTGTGAAGAACAAAACAAAATCCCCTTAGACTCAGAGGACACAGGATTCCCAGAAAGAGGTCTAGTCTTTCTGGGCAAAAGGGTACTTTTTCCCCTTGTAATTTCATGCATACTATTTTTTAGAGATGAGGAGCTTCTTGCACTTACAAGTGACACTAAACACAGGAGTTAACCTTAAAAATGCATTCAAGTACCCGATCTATATAAAAATTTAGGTGAATTGTGCATCACTCCGCTGTAGATCCACAAATCATTTCTGAATTTGCACCGACACTGTCCTTCCTTTTGAAGGGTGGCTACTTTTGTTCCTCATGGTCTTTGCGTGTGTTGTAAAGTAGCTTTGCTCCAAGCTTACTCCCGTGATGATCTACAATTTCAATACAAATAAAGTAGA